CGTGTGTCTGCGCACCGAGATTTGAACCCGGGATCTTCAGAGTACGAAACAAGAATACTAAGTACTTGATCGTGACGTTCGACGTGTAGCGTCGAATATGTCTATTGGCAAATAGGTAAGAATTCTGAAGCAGATGGCCATGCCATGTTTTGGAATTTGCTGCAGAGACTGAGGAAAACAACGAAATGCCTCAGTTGGGATATCCGATAAGTCACCTGAGATTGAACGGAGTAACTCCTGAATGTCATTACGCTAACATTCTCAGAGATTTTTACTTTGAGCACTGGGGATTTTAACGAAATAACTGGAATGTGTATCCAGCAAACTAGACTGACTGCCCCAGCAGTGTGTATTGTGCAACATGCCATCCGTGTCGTCGTAGAGTGTGCGTTGCCTGGCCTTGTATTGTGCAACATGCCATCCGTGTCGTAGAGTGTGCGTTGCCTGGCCTCAATTCGTGTTCCACAGGTTCTCAGAGCTAAGACCGGAAGTTACCGAATAAAGCTTCTTTCCTGCGAGTTCCGTTCATACCAAAGCCATTTACACTCTGCATTCTGATGCAAATGAAAATCATTTGTATTGAACCGGACAGATCTCACACGAAGTCCATAAAGACCAACAACACCGGATAAGTGTCTATTATGACGTCTTATAGGTTCTGAAAATCTGCCCGTTTCTCCAACCATCAGTTTTAATTGCGAAGTAATCATTTTTATATTAAGGACGCAGAATTGAGACGTTTTCTTCTTAAGTACCACGTATTAGAACTGCTAACCTGTTCTTAATCGTAATTAATGTAACAGCGAGTTAGGAAAAACATCATTATCAAAGTGATTGAAATAGAACAACCGGTGATTTAGTCAGAAGGTTTGAGGAATGCGGTTTTCATCACGTAGAAGGGCACACACGCTGTAGTAATTAATATTCTCTTCATCAGCATTATTAGGTACATGGTACGACAGCTTCGTGCGTGGAATCTGCTCAGTTATGCACCAGTTTCTCAACAGTTTGCTTTGTCTATTGAAACTACTGGAATGAAAGACTTGAGGTTCTCACAGCGGTGAGTACGAAGATATCCGTCTTCTGGGTTGTTGCGCTGTGTAGTCTGGTCGATGTTTACCAACGTTTCGGAGGTCATACTGCCTCCATCATCAGGGCGATGAGTATGAAGATATCCGTCTTCTGGGTTGTTGCGCTGTGTAGTCTGGTCGATGTTTACCAACGTTTCAGAGGCCATACTGCCTCCGTCATCAGGGCCCTGATGACGGAGGCAGTATGACCTCTGAAACGTTCGTTAACATCGACCAGACTACACAGCGCAACAACCCAGAAGACGGATATCTTCATACTGGAATGAACTTCAAAACTGTACACCAAATGTCGTCGAAATGGGTTGTACGAGATTCTGCTCATAGATAGCAGTAGTGGCAAAGCAGCATACGATGTTTCGAATCAAAGTAGCAATAAATAACCGTTTTCGAGTAGCCACACATGTAACCGGAATATCATATTTTGCGACATTTGGTTGCTAATTGCACAAGGAGAATACATTTAACTCTATAAGGTTTTGCGACATACTTTTTAATGACCAGAATATGTATTAGACCTTCATATGAAATGGCGGCCTGTTTAATCTGATCTGGACTAACATTAATTTAATCAAAATCCATGCATCCAAATCGGACTTGATGATCTGAAGGGGCGGACAGACACGCAAGTGGATATAGAAAAGGCCGTGTGCGCTAATTTGGGCCTTTGTATCGAAACAGTTGTTAAGTACCGCAATTCATGCAAGCGTGCATTACCTTTATGTTACTCTTTTTCTTACACTTCACGGAACCAATTTCATTCTTCTGTGTTTGTAAACCTGTCTTGCGTATTTATGTTATTTTAAGGCTCTCTTCAGACTTAACGACACTTCAATTGTCTTAATGCTAACAAACGGTCTCCACTGCACTTTTTATTGTATTTAATCACGCACTTCTTTTGACCAGGTTTTCGGCAGGTTAGTAGACGTCGTTGATAAACGCATTCATAAAATCACTTTGAACTAGAAAAATGTGTGGCTCTTAATCTTGTCACTAGGTTTTCGAAATGGCTGAGTAGTATTGCTTTTGCCACGGTATTATATACGTGGTTGTGAACTGTTTTTTGATGAATGGCCGTGGAACAGTGTTGAACCTCACGTGTGCAAGTTCACTCTCTTGGGTTTACCTGAGAGACAGCACGTTGTCTGAGTAACGGAATGAGCTAACGGTACCACAGATCAGATACAGCTGGCCTATGTTTAGTTAGCCGCATTACACAGAAACACGGCAGTAATTGCTGCTGGTCGTGATGTCAGTCCGAGATATCAAATAAAATTATTATTATCTTTAATTCGTATTAGCACACGCGCGAATTTTCATTAACGTCCTAGCGTTTCAAAGGGTCATATATATAATTATCGATGTATTGAATTAGAGTTCTCAAGTAATTATGTATTATATGCTAATTTATTATAGCCAGTGGGCTTAAACAGGAAAGAATCAAGGAAAAAGGCTACTTGATAGACCTCTGCATAGATGTGAGGATAATATATTCGAAATAGAATGTAATGGAGTGCATTTGATGCAAGTGGCTCACGGTAGGGTCCAGTGGCACTCGTCTTTGACCTTGTAGTATTCAGTGTACCGAGGTATTAGATAATGATGATTTTAAAGAATTCGTAACACTGGTAAAAGCTACTACACAGTTCTTATGTGCGAAGTCACAATGATTTATGGGCTGTTATTTCCCTCTGAAATCAGTAGCTTGTTACTTTGTTTCTTTCATTTATTTATAGAACAGTTTTAATAGACGTTAATTGTGATCGTCTGGGTTGTGACGTCATGTGCTCTTGCGGGTCACAAGGTCACACTAGAAGACCACAGTCGACATCTTCCCCACTGTGAAAACGCAGATTTCGCTTGCCTTTGGAAACATCTATCGCGATAAACGTGGCTAAAGGTGGAGAGAGTATGTTTCTCCGAAACGTTGTTCTATTTACTTACTGGTGTTGTCAATTAAATGTATTCTATAATTACTGAAGTGGAAGTCTTCACTGATATTATACCCATAAAAAGTTTAATGGAAATCGGCCTCTCGCGTAACCCAACACAGTAGAGTCCTTCGGAAAATGAAAGGTCTAGTCACGCAGTTGGTCATGAAATTTTCAGCCTTTTATGGGACCCGCAGTATCATTACTGTGCTCAAAAGAGCCAACTACTGGGCCCTATTCTAACTCACATAACACCAATTCCAGACCCTCACATCCAGTTTCTGAAAGATAAACTTTATCATTATTCTCCCATCTACGCGGAGGTTTATCCAGTTTTTTTTATCGTTAGATATTCCAACTAAAGTGCTGTTATTCATTTTCCAGCTCTTTCACGCATTATAACGTGCATGTCTCGCCCACCCCGCTATCCTCGGTCTGGTCGCCGTAATAATACAGAGATCGCATTGCTGTTAAGTGCATGTGACTCTGTCCTCAATTCCTTAGACGTCAAGCTTTCCGGAGATGGCCCGACTCCAGCTTTACAATGAGGACGTTTTAACGCGTTGCATGATTGCATGGCCTCGTCCTGTCGGGTCGTTTTCCTCTGCAGTAGGGTCTGCCCACATTGCCTATGGATTACAGGCGAACTTCAGGTGACAGGATTTGAGAGAGGAGTGTTGAGAATATTCTAATGTTTTTCTTCTAAAGGTAGGGGAAAAGAAAAGAGGATGCAGACGTTTGTGAAAAGGGACGTATTAAATTCATACTCATCACATAATACTGTTAGGGTGAACAAATCAAGGAGGGTGAGACTGAGATGACACGAGCGGAATTAATCTGGCTCGTGACTTCAGTGACGAGTTCTTGTAAACAATCTTTGAGTTTCACAAAAAGCGGAGGATTTCTTGACCAGAAGGAACGACTGTCATCTTCTCAAGGGCTTCGGTGTATGGAATTCGTGAATTTGTTTGCAAACAAAAAGCGCACTAGGCACTACCGTTAAGGGTCACTTTAAACAGGTGAATATGTACAGTGTGATCCATGATGTTGGCGTTCTGGTTAGTAACACCGTGTGGCCTTCTAGGTAGATATCGACTGTCTGGAGAAAGGTACGGCATTTGCAACCCAGAAGACCACCATCGACATCTACACCGCCGTGAGAAGCTGAGATCTGACAATTTGGCCTATTTGTTTTTTGCAGGTGGCTGTTGTGGCTCTACTAAGAAGAACACCATAGTGGGAGGATGGTCGTGGGCGTGGTGGTTCGTCACGGACGTCCAGAGGCTGTCGCTCGAGGTGATGACGCTAAACCCCATGTGCGAGAGCGTCGAGACGGCCCAGGGCGTGCCTCTCACCGTCACCGGCGTCGCAGAAGTGAAGTCGACAGTGCTGCAGACCTTGGAGGGACACCTCAGAGCCATTCTAGGTCAGTTCCAACACTTCGATACTGCAGAAACATCGTTAGTCACTTGACTCTGGAGACGGATGTCTTCTGAATTGTCGCTCCGTGTAGTCTGATAGAAGTTTACCATCGTTTCAGAGATCTTTGTTGTCTCCATCATCAGGGCGATCACTCACCTACCTGATTATGGAGGCAACAAGGGCATATGAAATGTTGGTAGACTTATATCATACTACATGGTGCTACAACGCAGAAGACAGCCATTAAGATAGAACTACCGTGAAGAATTATAGTTATAAAGAGGAAGTGGATGGTCTTGACCCTTCTACTCCATTAGTATGACGCAGGTTATCTTGATACGCCAGTCGCTGCGGAATGGTACTGAAACAGGTGTTTCGTTTACAGGCTATTCTTGCAGCACAGAGGTGCCCATCTCTTTTAAGTGCGTGAATAAATTCAGGAATACCCATATTTTTGGTATGTCGCGGATTCTGTTCTCGACTTGATGATTCATGATTTTCCTGCGGGAAAAATGTGGGGATGCTGCTGTAAAACATTCTTCGAAATCCAATAGCCACGATAATTTCTCACGTGTTAGTGGAAGAAACGCCACGTAAACTGAGAAATATGCTGGGTCATAGTAATCAGCAAAGAAACATAATGATCCATTCTCTTTACGTAGCTTTTCAGAGGCCAACTGTTCTTGATTAGTCAACTATCTACGTCCACCCCCCCCCCTTTCAGTATTGACATTGAATGTAAATTTTCATCCGTTCTTGTTCTGTATTCACTGTTCCACAGCATTTTTCGATACAGACGTTGCCTTCTGCACGGGTTTTTGTTCGTTACGAGTGACTAACATGTTTCTGCAACATTCTGCAACGCAGGCATGTGTTATCCTCTCCGGTTCCCCGCGGAAAATAGCGAACTAATATTTACATCTATCCCATTTCTGCTTTCTGTCCAGTCGTGATCAGGCCACGGTTATGGCTCACATTCAGTGATAAATCATGGGTGTTCTGTGTTGTGTTACTCTTCAATGGCCTTGTTGTTTCCTCTTGGTCTCGAAGTCTTGATTCAGGTTTCTGGTTCTTGTGGCCGGTATATGTAGACGATAATGGACTCACTGTCTCTGGATATTGCAAGAAATGGAATTTGTCCTATTTTAAGACGCTGATCGGACTATGGGAGGATTGGTCGGTATGGATACTTGGGGTAGGGCTAGCAGAACACCGTACCTCACATGTGTATTAGACATTGCATGCATTGAAATTGGCTGTCTTCATCTTCGCCGCCGTGAAAATCAGAAGTCTCACGTTAGAGTCATTGATTAGTTCTCAAACAGTAGTTTTCAGTGTTTTGTAAATTACGGAGAAATTATACAGTGTCCTCAAAGTGGCAACATGTACCAAAGCCATGTCATCATTTTCGTCGTACTGTCTCGTAGCCCACTGAACGAAGATTTTTTTTATCTTTTGAGTTCTCATCCTTGCAATAAGTGAACATTATGACGAATGAAATCTTTAAATCTTTGTTCCGTTTCTTAATTTATTTAACGAACATGTTTTAGCTGAATGGATTCTGTAGCGTTGATTGGAAGAGGGATAGTGAATTATGAATTGGATGGATATGTTTATTGCTACCCCAGTTTCTGTCTAGAGTCACTGAGGATACCCTGGAAAAGATCATTTTGCCTACAAGACTAGAATAGAACTGGGGACTCAACTTTTAGAATGAAAATGATGAAGTATTTTACGTAAATATTAAGATTACAGTGTTTTTCAATTTAGTCTGAAAGATATGCAACCCACTCGGTATCTGCGTATTTTGTCTACAGTGTGTAGTCATGATTCTCACGATTGTGTCCCTAAACAGTCGTAATGAATTGGTCCTTGCTACGGAGAAGTGTTGTGTTTTGTTTTGTGGTAAGAACGGAATGTTTAAATATTACTTAAATGAACTTCGTGCTTGAACGATAAACGTTAATTTAATATACGAGATCCAGCCTCGTTTTAGTGTAGACAATTTTGCCGACGCGTAAGTTACGTGCCAGAGTGTAGTGACGTAAAACGCTGGCAAACTGCAACGTTAAGTCTGAGGGTCAAGTAATGCTTGTAGGCCTATGTTGTGTGTTTTGTAACAGAAAGGCACATGGCGGGTCTTCGTTTTCTTTTTTCCGGGAAAGACCGAAATAATTAACCTTCCTAGTAATTCTCATTATTAACTTTCTGTACGTCATTATAGACCATGCATCTGTGGAGACTGACCTTGGACGTTAACAACCCGACTTTGGCGGTTTACTCAAGATGCAGTTCACTGTGTTTTCCGCGTAACGATTTCTGTAGAAGTGTTAAGGAGCAGAACGAGACTGCAAAGCAGTAGCTCCGCGTGAATAATAACAGCATTGTAATGAGATAGTTCATATAGCATTATCAGTGTTCTTGATACCGATGACAAAACAGGTTTGGAGTGGCCTTGGACAGTTTTTCCCCTCTGACTGTTAAACAAGTTCAGTCCAAAGAGAGGTTTGCATGAGAATGTCGTTCTTGTTGAAGGGGGCTGTTGGTTTGGCTTTAACAAGTGGCTTGACGGTAGTTCTTGTGTGCAACAGGTAAGTTTCATTGTTGTATTAATACTACCCTCCTTTACTTTATGGTACTCTCTTTTACCAGTTATGCACAGCAGTTGTAAATTTTCACGTCCACAGAAACGTCTGCTGATTTTTTTTAACTTCATGCGAAAAACGTATAATTGTTTAATTAAGAAATGTACCCAACTCTAGCCACCAGAATGCAGGACATAATCATGATTCTTCAGTTGAACTATTTTGGAAATAAATACAAAATAATATAAAGAAAAACAAATTTGACTATGGTAGGGACCTCTGAAACGTTGGCAAAATTCTACCAGACTACATGGTGCAACAACTCAGAAGACATACCCTACAAACCTTGCCACTGGGTGTAAGATGTAGAATGCTGATGATAACGATACAGACTTTAAGTTCTCAAAATGCTTGTTCTTCAGCAGTTTCTCTCACAACCTCACCGTACATTTTCTTGTGTATTTTTACTTTAATTTCCGTAATTTAGTTAAAACGGTTCAGAAGAATTCGTTGTTCTGTGCTTCTAAGCACATGTCTACCTTAAACTTTTATAAAAGCAACAGACATTTTATATCACTGCAATAAAACAGAAACATTAAGACTTAACAGTCTTTTGGAGCGTGCTAGATGAGGTGACAAAGCATTCCACACAAGGACATTAATGTTGTAGATCTTATTGCACTATTAATTAACAATTGAATTTACACTAGAATATTTTGGGACATGTATGTGTTGTGGTCAATGTTTCAGGAACGCTAACAGTAGAAGAAGTATACAAAGATCGAGACCAGTTCGCAGCACTGGTGCGAGAAGTTGCCGCTCCTGATGTGGGCCGCATGGGCATTGAGATCCTCTCCTTCACCATCAAGGATGTATATGATGAGGTTCAGTACCTGGCCTCTCTAGGCAAGTCACAAACGGCAGCTGTCAAGAGGGATGCCGACATTGGCGTAGCGCAGGCCAACCGAGATGCTGGCATCAGGGTAAGATTTAAAAAATAAGACTGCTGTTAAACAAGATGTTGGGTGGATATCAAAGAGAGGCAGAACTATAAAATTATAATATTTAAATTCAAATATGCTTCCACTCCAACTTTTAAATTTCATGATATACCACCACGTATATATTCCTAGCTTTGTTTAGACTTTTATAAGGGAGTGAAAGACAAAACCAGAATTACGGCTGATGAAATGAAACCATGAGATGACTGGAATATGCTTGGATGTACTATAAAGGGGGGAAAAAAGTATCTATACTGGATGAAATTTTGAAGTATACAACCAGTTGTAAATAATAAATAATGTAGATAATAAATATGTTGGTTAATGAACTGAGGTTTACCTGTAAAGATTTTTTGGATTGAGATCTGAACAGGGAACGTAACTTCTTGACTGCTGCATTATGATGTATGTATTCCATTTAATGTTTTCTCTTGCTAACAATATGTTTCACTGTCACGAGTCCATCGTAGATGCTTCAACTTAGTACATCCATGAGGGGAAATGCATAGTGCTAATACTAAAGCTTGACTTATGTTGACCGCTTATCTAGATTTTAGTTACAATGTATGTTGTAAAATCACAATAAGTTTATTGCGTAGGTTTATTTATTGATTCACTTAGTGTGTTTATGGTTGACTCATCTGCACAAGTCGTATAAATCCGTCCATATATATAGTAACAAACCAAATTAAAAATTATATATGTAACTTATAGTAAATTTTGGAAGTGGAATTTCCTCCACATCAGAATTTTTGGTTTCCAGAGTATAATAACTGATGGTAGAATATGGAAGCTTTAAGGCAGGAAGGGCTTTATGTTTTGTATAACACCTGTTACACTCCTGTGATAAATGTAGATGCAATCCAAATCAATATGGACCAGATAGACAATGTTGGAGCAAATGGCTTGATGTATCCCCTGCAAGGGAGGCTTCAAGATTGTTTCCTTTGCATACATATTTTGAACAGCTGCGGCACAAAACTATCACCCAGAATATCACAAGATGTCTGTAAATATTTTTAGTATTAAAATATTCTTTTAAGCAATAGTAATAGTCAACGTGTCACTTTTTAGGAAGCAGAATGTGAGAAATCTGCAATGGATATCAAGTACAATACGGACACAAAAATTGAAGACAACTCAAGAATGTACAAGTTACAGAAAGCACACTTTGACAAGGAAATCAACACTGCTGTAAGTATACAGGATTTTATTATATGAGTGTACAGATAAAATTAAATTTAGAGACATCTGCGTATGTATTTTTTATGAATAATTCAGTTCAAAATTCCATTGTTAGAATACCATTGGTGCAGCTTTCATATTATTTTTGTCATCACAGATATTCCTTTGGAGTACTACTGAATCCATAGTTTTTAGTTTTATATTTTCATATCAGCTTTTGCTTGGACGATTTTCATGTAACCATCCAAGGTTCACTGACTGCAATTACATATCACTTTGATATATCTTTTGTTCAGACCGTTTTACATTTCTTCTAATTCTTTTATTTCATACTGAATATAGTCCATATTTAACATAATTCCTTGTTTTTAATTAATTTTACAGATTTAGGATTTGATGACGTGTATTTATTTACTATTTTAACAAAGTCAGCATTTTTATTTAATATTGATATCATGATCATATCTCTTTATCCACAACATTCCGTCCTGTCATACGCATACTCTCTCACCTCGTGCTTCTGGTTGACAGACAACTGTTCACAATTTCCATTGCACAAAATTTCCATTTACTTTGAGTTTCAATAAATGTTACACATATCCAGTCTTTGAACTAATGAAATGAGATCTCTTCCTGGTTTATTTAAAAATGTTTCTAATCATTTATGAGGAGAAGTTATCACTTTTGGGTTGGGAATTTAAACAAAAATGTGAGCAGTGGAATGTCTATGGAAAATAGAGGGACATAAGTCTTGCCCATTTGTCCTTGGGCTCCCTGAATATCAGGCAGGTTTGCTATCCACTTGACTGTGACATTCATTAATTCTGATCTGCAATATGTTAATGAATTTTTCATTCACAGTATCTGATGGATTGGACACGTAGGTAGGATTGGAAATATGGGATGAGTACAAAATTTTGGTGGGGGATTGATTGAAATCCTCTTTTCAAATATTGAGGAGATGGGAGTGTCATATTCAGATGGACTTCAGGGAAGTAGGTTGTGAGAATGAGAAGTATATGTAAACAGTTCACGATCTTGTCTGATGGTGAGCTTTGACATTTTCAGTGCTGAGCCTTTCTGCTGCTGCATTGTCACTACTGAAGTAAATTGTAAATGTTGCAGAAAGCAGAAGCGCAGCTGGCATATGAGCTGCAGGCAGCAAAGATCCGCCAGAGGATCCGCAATGAGGAGATTCAAATTGAGGTTGTTGAACGAAGAAAACAAATTGAAATTGAAGAGCAAGAAGTTCAAAGAAAAGAGAGAGAGCTCAATGCTATGGTACGACTGCCAGCCGAGGCAGAAAGCTACCGAGTCCAGATGATTGCTGAAGGAAAAAGGTACATTTTAACACTTCTTTGTTGGTTCTTATCCAAGTTGTGGGGCGTGACACTTCATTATTGAAATTCCTTAAAAGTCATTATCTTTTTCTGTGCTTTTAAAACCAACGAAAATAGGTCTTATTTCTTTGCATATTAAAAATATGATGTCTACACTGAAGTACATTCTTCCACTTCCATTTCAGAACTCAGACAGTAGAGGTAGCCAGAGCTGAGGCAGAAAAAATCAAGAAAATTGGAGGCGCAGAAGCATATGCGATTGAGGGAGTTGGCAAAGCAGAAGCAGAACGTATGCGCATGAAGGCAGCTGTGTACAAGCAGTATGGAGATGCTGCAATCATGTCTTTAGTTCTGGAGGCATTACCGAAGGTGAAACAGAATGAAACAATAACTTATGGTGTTTTTTTAAACTTTTTTAAAGCTAGCTTGGTATGATGTGAGATATAGTTTTTGCATTACAAACCTAATGGGAAAGTGGAGTTTGTAAGTAACCATTTTCATACAGTGATATGGAAGAAAATGTAAGGTTTGTTCAGTAGGAAATTAAGGTAGAAAGTAAATGTGCCAGTAACCATGAGAGCTGAGTGGTCCATACCAGATTCAGTTCAGTTTTGGCCTTCAATTTATTTTGATTAATTTAATTTTGGTATTTTATTAGTTATATCTCCTATTTTCTCTGAAGTCTAAATTAAAGTTTGTAGATGTTCTCATAAATGGCTCATTGTACAATACATGAGTACATAAAGTAAAATAAAAATTGTATATAATTACACTGTAACTTTTATTAAAATATTTTTTTATATAAAGCAAAATAGCAAACAGTGCATTGGGATTGTATGTGTACTCCAGTGGAGTATGTCTTTTCACTCTTATTATAATGGCATTTAAAAAAACAATGTTACACAGACTGATTTGCCCAATCAGTAATGATGTTAGTGTATTTGTATAGATTTAATTATTTGATTATTATTTTGTAGATTGCTGCTGAAATTTCTGCTCCGTTAGCCAAAACAGAAGAGATTGTCCTTCTTGGAGGAGGAGAAAGCAATTTGACAGGAGAACTGACAAGGCTAGTGGGCCAGGTACCTCCAGCTGTCCATGCCCTCACTGGTGTTGACTTAACAAAGGTAAAGAATACATCATCTAAAAGACTAAAATGCAATAACTGTTTTATATTTGTCATCTGATGTAGCTTGTACAGGATGATTGAAAGTCATGTAACCTATATTAAAATATTTATTGATGGTTGCAATTCAGTTGGATTAATAAACACATAATATCACCGTGACTATGTAATAGCCCATGCAGGTCACACCATGTTTTAACCCACTTATGGCAGTCCATCAGTTGTCTTCAGACATTCAAAATGCAAGGATGTCTCTTTCACAATTGCAATGAGTGTTCAATATCAAACACTACAGCAACTCATTTTTAAACTTAATGTACCAGAATGAGTTTAGGGATATATTTCCTCATTCTCCTGTGCTAAAGAAATTGACAATATCTTGCTCGATGATCCATTTCTGGTCACTCCAGACACTACTGGGTTGCATCAGACATGAGTGATGAGAGTGAATGCATGCATCGCTGACCACAGAGGATATTTCCAACACTTGATATAACTTTTTTCTGATTTCAATGTAATTTATTTTTTGTTCCATAATAGGTGGGAAATTTCTTAACTAGCTGAAAATACTCTGTAAAGGCTGAATAAAACTGAAAAGAAAAGCCTGGATGGTCCGTAATGTGGCTAAGTCTTGACTGGTATCACATAAATACAGGACTAAAGTTTTTTTTGTTACAGTTAACTCCTCGGTCTCATGTGTAAGATACAACAAACTGACTGATTGACTGACTGGCTCGGCAACTGACTAGCTAGCTAACTAACTAACTAATCAATTTTTTACCTCATAGCAGTTGTGGTAGTATATGTCCTGCGAATGTTTATTTATGGACAAAAGGAATTTCAGAAGAATTGGGCGTGTATTTAATGTCGATGAAAGAGGACACATAATGATAGTTCATCTGTAATATATGTCAAATATGACCATTTATTTTTACTGTGTACGTCTATGTGCTTTTACACAAAATAATTTTGTACTCTGTCATGTGTCTCTTACGTACATTTATCTTAAAAACAATCCTCCCTTAACAACTGAGTTTTTTCTCATTAAAGGTGCTGAGTAAAGTTCCAGGAGCAAAGTAATATCGGCAGTTCATTCCCATGCCAAGGTGCCACTTAGGGGATGAGAAACAGTGTCATGCCATTGATGGCCATTACTAGCCATCATGCCTGTTAATGGTGGGGAAAAACATCATGAACACTTCACAAATCTCTTCATCTCTTTCTCAGGTACAGTCTTGCGCCTAGTAACATAAAGTTAAAAAAAATATCTTCAGAGTAGCAGTTCTTTAATACAAAAGTACACAACTACATAAAGTAACAAGTGTAAGCAGAACACTAAGACATGAAGCTTGTAACTATATCTGACCTGTGTTAGTGTCCATGAATCCACTGACTGTATCGCTTTACCCCATTGGAAAAACCTTCACAGTCAGTGTCAATAATCAGTTTTATTCTGGGCTTGGGTCTTATATCCGTAATGGCTTAGTAGCATGATGTAATATGAGCCTTATAGGTTTACGCCCTCTTATATTTGTAAGTTTAAGTTGGATTCCTTTGAAATTATCCTAAGTACAATATGTATTATAATCTTTGTTATTTCTCTGTTGATGATAAAAAGTTGATTATTTTTTCTAAGATTTAAGTGCATCCAGATATTTCTTAAAATTCACAGTGTTAGTTATGATATAAAATGTTTAATAGATTTGTTGTGATATGTTAAGAGAAATCACATCCATTATTCATTATTATGCTTGATTAAGCATAATGCAAATTTGAGCTTATAGTAACTGCTCATTTATCTAATTTTGGCTTCCTAACACAAAGTCATGATAGTAATCCATAAGAACATATCTTGAATATTTGGCACTGTCATTTTGATCCATTCTATTTCTTCATCCTGCACATCAGTTTTTGTTCTGACTGTTAGAGAATTGTCTGGTTGTAGATGTAATTTATTTCTGCTTTTATGATTTCTGCTCATTTAAATGTATAGAACTTAAAAATAAATTGTGCTACATTAAAGGTCTGAAACATTGACCATTCACAGACAGTGGATTTATGAGTTATTTCATTTATAATTGCAGGTCAGGTTGATATTAGGTCATGTCTTTAAAAAGTAATAAATAAACTTTGCCATTCTTGCATTATGTGATAATACTGTTTAGCTATTTGCCTTCTCAGATGTGGTGTGAAGAATTGGTTTCACTGTAAATGTGTAATATCTTAAAGAAATGAACGTAACAAATGAAATATCACTTATAGTTAACTTAAATAAGATTTGAGATCTTCATGGTTGTGTGTCTGTTATGGTGTTCTGGATTGTGACGCCATATAGTCTTGTAGGTTGTTACCAACATTTTGGAGAGGAATCTGTTGTCTTCATCTTCATTTGAAGTGGATACATACAAGTTAAAAGTTTTAAAACACCCTGCTTACTTTTGATTGGTCTTTTATGAATGTGTTTATGAGAGGTAAGATGCTCAGAGTGGCTTTGTGATAGTGGGCAGTGTTGAATCCAGAATTTGTGTGCCAAGAAGTTACTATGTCAGTTGTTAAAGAGCATCTTGTCATAAGAAAAGCAAATTGTCTGGAGGAAGGATAGCAACATGAGATTTTTCTAAACACATAGTATATTTTGAATTAAGCAACTGTAACATTCACATTTTTTTGCACTCCAGCTTCATATTCAGTAGGTTCTGGGTTCAAATAGTGCCTTAAATTAGGCCCCAAATTTTTCCTTATTTTTACTTTACAGTTAATTATTTTTTAATCATCCAGTCATTCAACATTTATATTCTGAGCTTACTGACAGCAAATCTACACAATCAGTTGTGATAACTCTGGTAGAGATAGTCTCCAAAACAATGTGGCTGTTTGTTCAAGAGCATTTTATTGCATTTGTTTGATAATTGTGAACGGTTACCCACCATTGGTGTTGTATGATCAAGTAATACATGGCAATGTTGGAGTGGGACTATAACTGGATTCAACACTGAGCGTTTGACTTTTGCTGATTATCATCTGGACTCATTAAAGGGATTGCAACTAGAAAGTCATATCACATGCATGCTTGGCAAAGTTTTGCTCTTTTATTTTATTAAAGCAAGTGGGCTAAGATTCTGTAATGTGTTCATTGAAGACCCACTCTGCCCCTGTACTCTGATGTGTAGATGGGGTCTTGGTTCATCATTACCTGCAAATGATGGCCATTATTATTTACAGGAGAAACAGCATTTGTCCATTCTAGAATAAAATATTATTTGAAATTCTTTTATCTATATGCAAGCAAATTAATAATAACAACAACAATAATAATAAAATAACAAATGGCTGCACAATAACAATAAATGGAAAAATAAATTATTTACTACTACTGTGTTGGTGCATAAGCTCATAAGCGTTTGCTAAAACTTTTAACATACTCATATACTATTGGGCAAAAGACATCTGTAAGAATTCAGAATTTTCTTTTTATTATCGCGTGGCTTGCAGTACAGCAAACACTCCTGCTCTTTTATATGGATTCAGGAATATGACATATATGTTTCTCAGAGTTCAGAAGCTTAATGAGTTGAAGATTTGTGGAGTAATGCATATAAATAAACAGGATTCTCTGGTACAAATTAAGCTCTGAACGTTTGTGTAAATGTAGTTTACAGTCACATATGAATATACTGTAAATAGATTGATTTCTCTAAGAAAATGGACGTAATAACTTAACCAAACATTTTCATGTCAATGTAGTTTGGATCCATCATTAATTTACATGAGTTTTTGCAGAAATATTACAAAGAAACTAACTGTTGTGATTTAAAGTGCTGGATGACTATTATTTGTAGTATGTTGCTGTTTAGATGTGACCCAGAATTCTGACCATAGTACGTCAAAAGTCTTGCTTGTTTGATATTGACACAATTGCATAGACGGTTTCAGTTGAGTTTGCATTAAATGAAGAAATTTACAAATGATGATAGTTCTGGGTCAGATTTGAACCATGTTCATAGTTTCTTTCTTGAAATTCATTCTGTGAATGCATATCCTCATTTTATGCACAATGTAATTTACTTATGAGCAGGGCTCCAGTAATACTACTTAAATTTATTAGCCACTTTACAGATTCCACTCAAGGATATATCTAGACACTGGCAAGAAATGTGGTTGCCACTAATCTCTGTCACCTTGCCTGAGATTAGTGGAAGAGCATGTTTATGGAGCCCTGAATTTAAAGCATTGGACATGAATCTCTAAACAAGATGTACCAACAGCACAGAAACGTTTTTTGAAACAATTATATTAAAATATTTTTTGTCTTTCCTTCATCTGAGAAAGTTGAAAAACATTTTAAAAAATCCATAACTCAAATTAATATGAAATAAATTAAAATATAGTTGCCATTGTCATTATGACAAAGAACTACTAATTCAATTAGCTTAGGGGAAAGATATTTTCCAAAGATTCATCTGTATTTTTGTACTCTTCTTTATAATTAGTTTCTCATATGTAATTGAACTGTGCTTTTCCTCCATTAGGCACCTGGGTATGTTTTGCAGAAATTTTTTTGCATTAGCTGTATTATCTAGAAAGAAACTGTAGAGTTCCCATTTCTGGAAACAGAAATTTTTGTTGATTTGCTTTTTATTTTTAACTCTTTGAAGCAAGTGTTTAATTACTTCTTTTATTTTAGTAGTTTAATTTCTCCCCTCCTAAGTTGCAAACATTTGAGTAAAGGAACAAAAATGTGATACCTTTAAATTAAAATAAATGGTCACTATAAGATAGATCATTTTATTAAGAAACTAAAACAACAAGGCCTTTGCTAAAACATATACCCCACAAGCTTTGTATGGGGTTCGTCCAGAAAGTGAGGAAGGAGGAGTTCAGAGTGTTAACAGTTCTGATGATGCATGTAAAGTGTAATATTATAAACAAAACAAAACTATGAAGTGCATTAAGTACAGAAATTGGAAAGAGTAACTGATAACTATTGTTAAGGAAGTGGAACTGAAAGGTATGGGAAAGGCATTAGAAAATAAGAAAAAATCACTGCCGCATCTCCCTATATTGTTGTGCGTTTTCCTGTAGTGGACTGTTTGTCAGAATGACACACGTTGCGTTTCCAGTGACTTGTTTTCATGTGTGAACTGAGTGTAGCTTATGAAAAGTTTATATATATATATCTTCATTTAATTTCTATTAAATGGGAATTTAGCTGGCAACATTCATTCTTTATTCCTTTACAGGGTAATCTTATTTAACATAAATATTTGTGTTGTTAACATATTTAAGTTTAAACGAGTGTAAAAGATTGTTGAAATTCAACAGGGACCTTCTCTCACCATCTTTCATCATTTCCTTTACAACTTTCATATCTTTATCATATTCCCTCCTTTCTTTCTCATCCATTCCACATTTCTGTCTCCTTAACCCTTCTCACCCTTCCTTGCTACCTACCATGTGTCTCTTCAGTTTTCACATCACATTATAAATGTAAATATTTAAAGATATGACAGACACGCATATACTACTCTGTAATACAAATCTAAAATATCACTCGAAACAAGTGGCAGAACAACAATGAAAAGTATCTTCTTTGCTACACCATTTTTTTCTGTGAGGTAAAGGTGAAAGTCTGTGCACCAATGCCATGTAATTCCACTGTAATTTTCAATTCTTAAGCATTATTGATTGCATACCAAGGTTCATTAAAGTGTTGTTATTTCCCAAAATTGTCTTCAGAATATGTGATTTGGAAACAAGATTTAAAAAGTTGGTTGTACAATAGTGAAATCATAATAGTTACCACAGAAAGCAAGAAAGTATTTTGAAACTGACAGATATTATTCTGAAGATTATTTTGAAGTAATTCTCAAGTGTGTAAGTTTGCTGGAAACATACCGTGTAACCCTCTCCTCTCCCCTCACTCAAATTGCAACAATATATACCATTTACACACGATATTTTTACTTGTAGCTAATATTTTAAGAAAACCAAATGTGTACTCTTTTTAAATGGCTGATTTTATGTCCCTTAGAAGAATGATGTCGTGTTAGTTCAGGGGCCTTCAGTCTAAATATTACAGCAGAATTCTTGAAGGTGTTTGAAGACCACTGTTCTAGTCTTTGTAAGCAATACAAGGAAAATGAAGTCTGTCTACTGGAATAAATACTGGAAAGTTTTTTGTATAGACACAAAATAAACAAACAAAATTAGCAATTATTAGTGTTTAAAGCTACATTATTATGAAGTCTAACACATAATGAGTGCATATTTTTAATAAATGGAGGCAAAAATTAGTGTAATACATAGTATTTTTTTTCTATATCTACCCTCTGTACTGATATGTCTATGAAATTGTAAGTAGAAATTGTCGTTTTAATGGTGGTGAGTCCAAAGAAGGCTGCATTCTGGGTTTTGGAAGTGATAGAAGTTTACCAATGTTTCAGAGGTCCTCCATCATCAGGACCATGAGTCACTTATTGCCATGATGATGGAGGCAGCAAAGACCTCTAAAACGTCAGTAAACTTCTACCAGACTACACGGTGCTACAACCCAGAAGACAGCCATCTTTAGGTGAAATTGTAGTCATAAATGGAAAATTATATAGAACATTCTCAGAGATATTACAGGAACAGTCTCTTTCTGGCAAAACAGCATAGCTGCCCATAGAAGTAAAATACCTTGCACTGATGTTGGGCAAGGGATCCACAAGAAAGGTACAGCTGGAGAAAGTTATGAGCAGGGTCTGCAAGGCATTATGGACCTGTAGAGGCACATTCAGAAAAACATGGGGATTGAAACCAAAGGTACTGTATTGGGTATACACTACTACACCACCATAGTATGGTGGTCTACAGGGCTGAACTTGGTGAACTGCAGAAGTTGGTCTGTCTATAGATAATTGGAGCTATGAGAACAACTCCTACAACTACAGTCGAGATCCTCCTAGGACTCCCTACCCTTCATGTTAAAATACAGGCTGGGCCTTGGCAGGAACCTACAGATTCAATTGAAAGGAACACAATGCACAGACGGACCAATAGAATCATACTCAAGATATAGCTATTTAACAAAATATCCAGCCAGATTTCCTGACAGAAGTGAATAGGAAAATGGGTTTTGGCCAAGAAGAAATGGGGATCAATTTGGTACACTGATAAGTGAAAGACAAATGGTCCAGTTTCCTGTGACTACTTATTCGGTATATTTGTAGCTACCTTATGTATCTAAAGGCTGTCACTTGCATCATATTTCAGGTGAAGGCTGATGTGGATCCAATACCACCCTCTTCCAAGTTTTGTCCCAGCAACCCATTACATTTCATGTATGTGGGTATAAGACTAACATATAACTGTTACGAAATGATCGGTGTACATGAAAATATTTTAAAACATGCATAGCTTCCAATAACATTTTACATGACAGGAGGATGGATAGAACTACATAGTGAAGAGCTCCATAATTGCTACTTTTCACTAGACAAGGCATGGGGCCTATGAGAAATGCATACAGAAGTTTGGTTGGGAAACCCAAAGGGAAGAAACCACTTTGTAGACCCAGGGTAATATTACAGTCAATATGAAATAGGCTGGGAGGGTATGAACTGGATTCATGTAGCTCTGAATAGGAACTGATGATAGACTCTTGTAAATGTGGTAAAGAACTTTCAGGTTCCATAAAGGGTAGGAATTTATTGAGTAGCTTAATGACCATCAGCTTCTCAAAAAGGACTGTTCCATAGAGTTTATCAGCACAACATTTTTCAGAGTGTATCTGCAACATACATCCTGAGGGTTAAATCTACCATTCTTCATATTTGCAGAAATAACATTGCTTGCTTCCTGTGTCCAACAGATGACCGCCGTGAAAACTTGTCAACACTGCTTCCTTTGTCCTGAGCCTCCTTTCCTCATGCCAGTATAATGCAATGCAATACTGTCTGAAACTCAAGGTATAGCCTCCCCAATACAAATCTTATGTGATGAATTTCTTTGACACAGCAGATGTAAGTCACACTGTGTTCTCATACTTCACATTATTATATGTCTGTGTGTTCATTATGTAAATTAAACTGACAGAAATTACACATGATCAAATAAATTGTACCTGCTTTTAAGTGCAAGCTATATTTGAAGTACTCAGAAGATAAAGTGTGAAGATGTACTCCTTTAGAATATATATTTCTTAAATGCATTAGAAAGTGGATCATTTTCACATGTAATTTTATTTATTCCAAAGTTCACTTTTTGTCACTTATTTACATTATTATTAACACCACTTTCGATTAAAAAATGAAAGTGCTTAGACTTTCTTAGTTTCATGGTGTTTATGCCTACAGTGAATGGATTTATTTTGCTTGTTTTACTATTGTCAGTACAAGTTTAGGGCAGCAATGTCCCAAGTGAAATGAAATGGCATGCAAATTAGAAAAAATAACTACAATCAATTTACAGAGGATACAGATAAGATAGATTGGATAAAAATGCACAAATGAACAACATATCAGGAAGATTGGAGATTTATCAGCTTTTCATGATCATAATGGACAGATTGTCAAATAAATAGAAACTCGTTCAATAAAAGCAGTCAGCATGCCATGGTCCATGGTCTTTAAATTTACACATGCTTGCTTTACATTTCACTGTGATAATTACATATAACTTGACACTGTACCAAAGTTTTTAAAAATTCATTTTCCTTCCCTTATCAGAACCTTTTAGTAATCAGTAAACATTTCACATATTCATGTTACCATTTAAACTTTTCTTTCATTTCATACACTTACCCCTTATACAGTCACTGCTCATGGTTTGTCTTCTCATTAGGTTTTACTAACAACTAACACCATTGCACATTTTCTTAAAAGACTGACACAGCATGATTGCAGCTAAATGTGAAATGTTCCAGCAGATGGTTGCAGTCCTATCATATCACAACTGGAGTGAGAGGCAATCAAACGTAGGCTCCTGATTCAGGGCATTTGACTGATATCAGGGCTTGAAAAATATTGTTGCCTGGTTGGGTCTTTCAGGTAAGTTAATGTCTGTTTCTATTAATTTGTGTGTGTCTATATATATATATAATGATATGTAAACTTGAAACAAAATGAGATGAAGTTAATTTCAGGTTCTCGTGGCAGTAAGCATAACTGGCTTTCTTCTGGGTTGCTGTAATGTGTAGTCTATTAGAAGTTCACCAGCTTCTACCAGACAACATAGCACAACAGCCCAGAAGATGGCCATTATCACTGAGAGTCTGTGTTAAATACAAATGACAAATACACAGTGACTGTTAGCAAGAGGCTGAATGTTTGAGTTTACATTGTCAAGTAATATTACAATGGCATGCTGCAGGTGTTTGATCCTCGACTCATATTTCTGGCCATATATTTATCAACTCTCTATAGTCAATGTCAGCAGGACTGAATTAAGACTACACAAGGCCCTATGCTAAAATATAAAAGAGGTCCCTATAACAATTACAAATTTCATAGAAAGAATTATTAATAAATGTTAACAAATTGGTGATTGAAAATTTTCAAGGGCAGACTTTTTAATAACAGTGAATATTTTAACAAAACAAACCTTTGGCCAAGTTCAGACTTGCTCAACTAGAGGGCCCAAAAGAGATTTCTGCCAAACTTTGTAGAGTTAATTATTACATACGTTGCTTTCAACATGTCTACATTCAGCTGTTAATACTAATGTTTGGATTTGTGGGGATCTCTCAATAATATATTTATCGTCCAATTTAGTACTTAATACTGAACTATTTGAAACAAACAGTATATGAAAAAATGTACAGAACAAAATAATGGTGTCCTTATTAAAGTTTAGATTTTCAACTTAAAGTAATATGCATCAAATATGTAACACTTAACTCTAACCCTCATATTGAGCAACATGAACTGCTATGTACATCTGTATGGAAATGTTTAGAATGATCTAATACCAAATTTCATCCAGATCAAAGTGCCTGGAGATGAACAGACATAGAAATGTTAGTAAATTCTCACAAATTGTCATTACATGTACATATGAGAGTTATAGAGAAATTGCCAAACTTCTAAGCAGATTTGAAATACTCTAAAGGTAAAACTGTCCCTGTGCTTATGCATCATGCTATGAAGACACATTCTTAACCTCAGCATTGGAGAGAGAGACAAGAGTGATTAGCATCACATTCTAGCTCTCTTACCCCCATTGAAATAGGCTGCGATTCCTTTGGAATAGGAAGCCGAGTAGGACCGAGAACCTCGATGTGGTGGCAAAAACAGAAATCCCAAACCTTGGTTGTCCAGTCCATAGTCAGTCAATTTACTGACAAAGCTATCCAAGCTTATGATTTTTAAGGACAGACAAATACTATGGACAGGGTCACTGGTAACTGCATTCCACATGATCTGGAGAAAGTAGTGTAGTCATCATCAGTTCACATCCTTAGAACAGGAGTTGGGTATGTAGTACATGCTTACTTACATTATACAAAACATTTGTCATAGAGCAGAGATCTTTTCTAAAGCTGGTGTCTCCAGTTTCTTGAACAGAGGATCCATGGAGTGCCCAAAGTAACAGAAACAAGAGCACAAATAACTGACAAATTCCCCACTTTTAAGGATCCAATACTGAGTTTATCCTGAACTAGTTCAGTTCATTCCACACTCCATTTCTCTAATATATATTTCAATGTAATTTTCCCAGCTGCACTGAGGTCTTGCAAATTGTTCTTCCCTGAGGCTTAGGGCAGTTTCTTCCTTTGAAGATAAGTGCAAAGGAAAGGTGATGGTGACTTGAAATGAGGAGCATCCAAACCTTGAACTGTTGGTTCAAAGGTGATATTACAAACCATAATCTGAATTACCTGCATTCTTATTTGTAATAAAGTTAATTATGCAGTGATAAATTCAGCATGAAGTCAATTCTTTCCTTAAATCTTTTGTTACCTTATCATTATGACACCACAAAGAGTAATGTTTCAGTTACTTTACGACTCACTGCAGAAAGCAGTTCTCTAATAAAATATGTAACTGATCTAACACTGTTCATCAACATCCAGTATGTTATATTCTTTAATATTAATTTGATGAATATATATTTCCAAGGTATTTTTTAAAATTAAAATTTAATATAAATAATTGTAAATTCTTCACATGGTCAACATCTTGGGAAACAGTCAATGCTTCTCACTGAATTCTATAATCACAAAATAGTGACAGTGAAAACATAAAAAAAAAATCCAGGTTGCACAGACAACAATATGTTTTTCATACTGCATCAGGATATTCTGTTGAGGTTGGTCATAATGGGGAAAAATGCATTCTGGGGCAAACCAACATTATTTTTAATATGTATAAGCATAGTGACCTACACAGAATACTGATAATGTAAAAATTTATTATCAGTTTTACACACATAGGAGCAAGGGTAAAGAACCATCATAATTTTTATACTTCAACACTGTACCAGCAACAGCATTTTCTCTGTCCATTTTTCTGTTGCTTCATTAAAAGTACCTTATAACATTTAACTGTCACATGGTTTGCATTTTTCTTTTATTTCATCATTTTACGTTTTAATTATAAAACATGCATCATCGTCCGTGATGCTATATTTTTATTTTGCAGTCATACAAAATTAACTCCTCCTTTGTAGAAATTAAGATCGAGCAGTGTATATATATTTTTTGCTTTTTACCGTTTTTAATTTTTTTGATATATCAGCATGTCTATCACTTACTGGGCATAAAACTGAAAACAGTAATAGAACACATCCAGAGTTCCTGACAGTACTGTTCATCATTTATTCATTTTTACGTGACTTTCTATTTTATTTAAAAAAACATCAACCCCTCAAATATTTTTATAGTGATTCTATTATGTTAAATTATTTGACAACATATCAAGAGGGACACGTCTCTCACGAGCAAACATAATTTATAAACCCCCCCCACAAGGTCAAAAAAAAAAGGACAAAAGTTTCTTACAAATTGAAGAACATTAGTAGTGCCAGTATCCCTGTACAAAAATCACTTGCCTAAAGTATTTTAATTATACCTTAGCTACTGAAAGAAATAACACTACCTATATCTAATGGGAAAGCTTCATTATGTTACAGCAGCACAAGAACCAATCTAAGGGTGCTATAAACACGAATTCTAATTTAAGATTGACACAAGGCATCTGGCTACGAGCTGCTTCACTTTGTTTGGTCAGTCACATCCTTCAGTGGACAAGGTATTCATATTGTGGTGAATCACGAAGTGCTGAACTGATCTTCATTGTTGGTTATCTTCATTTCAAAACCAATTCTATTTCTTACAACACAGGAGTTTATATACAGTGAACATTAAACATGCCTGCAAATATTCAATCACTACACCACAGTAGCAAAAATTAGAATCGGCTCAGAAAATAACTCTCCAAGAATTCACTGGGCACGATAAAAGCCAAGATGATGGGAATATTGATCTTCAAAATCATTCTAATTAAAAAAAGTTTATTTACCTTGGCAATTCCTAGACTAGGAAAGAAATTTTTAAATAGTACTTGTGAATAAGGATATATTAAGTATGGGGAAAAGATGAGCAGGGTCTGTTTCAATAACAGGATTGCGACAGCATGAAACAGAGCATCAACAACAATTTAAGTCAGCTGATGTTTCCTGTGCTTAAAAATTAAGTGTTCCCAATGGAATTCCATGACTGATGATCTGCCTTGACTTATGGACGCAACTTACAGGGTCTCCCTTGGATCTGGAAAGAAAAACAAACAGTAACATAAGGATGGTAAACAAAAAATAATGCCAATAAGTGTTCAAAACCTAATTCCACATGACAAACGAAACTGACTTTTGGCTTCTTAACTTGCTGATTTCATTACATCAGTTACTGCTTTTACTATCATTCTCAATATCTTATTACAATAACTGCCAGAAAAGGGTGTAAATTGACATTGCAACTGCTCACCTATCAGGTATTGAATTATATCAGTAACCTCTTCAGACTCACGGAATGGATACCAGATTAGTTTCACAAGGGCAAAGGACTTACATGAAAGTAACAATGGCTCTTATTTTTCTTTCTTTTTAAAGTTTCATGTGGGGATGTAAGCTGGATTCATCTGGCTCAAGACGCTGAACAGTGGTGGGCTCTAACAGACATGATAATGAACTTTCAATTTTAACAAGCTGGAAAATTTCTTTACTAGCTGAGCAACCATTAGTTTCTGAAGAACTATGTTCCTTCGAATCAGTTTTACTCCATTTACTATAACTGTGCCTCACAAGACTGTTGCAAGTTAATGTAGTTATGGTTAATAAGGGACACAAATTCCTTTTAAGTCACAAAAAAGAATTCATATATCATCCCAGGAAATTTAGCCTCTACAATTCATTTATGTATTAGCATTAAGGTCTGTCACAGTCATGCCTTATAACTTAATTAAATTCAAAATCTTCATATAATATTCATGCACTTGCACTGTTGGATCCAAATACAAAATAATCACTTGGGCGATAGTTTATGTACAAAATGACAATGAGCATGTATAACAAACATCACATAAACTTCAGCATCTGTTTTTAACAACAGTTTACACTGTAACTATTGGAGTCTGAAATTTGAACATTAAAAGTTTATACTGCAGACATAATACAACATTTCAAAAGATGACATTAATGTTGACTCAAATTGATTCTTTGCTTCATCAATATTTCTTACCTGCTTTTGCAGTAACCAACCACAATATAAACTGCAGTGTATATTTTTACTTGGGAAAATTCTCTTCACGAGGTTTTGCTCCACCAAATATCTTGGATGACTGACTTGTCTCTGCCAACTGATTGAGAGGTTTGTTTACAGTTCGAGGCTTTAACTGCAATTTCGGTCTTGCACCTACATCCACTGAAATTATAACATTCATTAGTACTTCAACACACAAAAATATTGAACCTGGCATGCAAATTAAACAAAACCTCAACATAAACACTTCTTAACTTTCAATAATAACCACACTCATACCTGCAGAGGGTTCCTTAAAATCTTCTGTAGGTGGTCTCCTGTCTCTACCAGTATCAGGCCTGGATCGACCCGCATAACCTCCTCGACCACCACGACCCCATTCCCTGCCACCTCCTCCACCACCCTCTTCAAAATGGCCATAGCTACCCCGGTTTCCACGTGAATCTGAAAATCCACCTCCTCCACCTCGTCCACCTCGGTTACTGAAACTACTACCTCCACCAGCACCACCTACAAACCATATATATAAACAAAGAGTTGGAAAATTGTTCATGACCATGGACAAACTAGATATACCAAAAAATCAACATGTGCAATTCTTATCAATCACTAACCTCCAAAGTCATCATAACCTCGATCACCTCTTCCTCCTCGGAAGCCACCTTTGCAAACATGAACAGTGTATGTTAATAATTACCGTTGCAGGAATAAGTATACAACATACTTTTTGAAAATGAATGAACATCTTCAACACAAACCTCGTGATCGACCCCTGTCAAAACCACCACCCCGATCACTGCGTTTTCCCTCAGCCACATCAATTCTCAGAAAGTTGCCCTCAACAGACACACTGCCATCAAGCTGTAACGCCTCCTCCAGGCCACGGACGTCATCAAATTCAACATAGCAGAAACCCTTGAATTTGTCTGTTTCTCTATCACGAACCAGACGAATACTTTTCACCTTTGAAAAAGCATACATAATATTAATTCATTATTTTGAATTATTGAACGAAATTGAACTACTAATTTTGTTAAAAATGACACAAACCACATAACACGGACATGGAAATAAAGTGTGATTCCATACCTGATTTTGTTGGAATATTTTGTCCACATCTCCTTGTACAACTCCTTGAGGCAGGTTCCCGACATATGCTGTGAATGGAGGTTCTGTAGGCAAAGGCTTTCTTCGTCTTCCGCCTCCTCCATAATCTCTGTAAGTACAAATCCTGTTACAGTTACAGTCCATAAATTATTAAAACAAAAACAAAGTCTGAAAGGTCCTAGACCCCTAGCTATACGAAACTTGCAATCGCACCGCCTCACAATATACACTTAACCTCACATTTATATATATAAATCGGCAATTTATAGAACCTACCATAAACTAAATATTAAATATTATGCCATTAAAATTATATACCAAATTAACAAGCACACAACACACATTAACGATACTTGTTTACTTACCTATGATCGCGCTCATCATAACCACCTCGTCCAGCCATGTTGGATGCGACGAAAATGCCAGGAACTTACAATGAATACTTAAGTAATAATAAGTTTATTTATTAGTTATATTTTAGGTGTATACGAAAATACCTTCAAATTTTAGCAAGCTTTTACATCTAATATTGTTAACAGTCGGTAGCAATTTTATCAATTTTTAATTGAAGAATGCCAATGTTGAGAGACAATAGGGAATCGAATGGTTTTGTCTGGTAAAATGGAGGCAAGAGAAGAGCACATGTCAAGTGTACATGCAGCCATAAAAAAAATGGATTCTACTGTGTTAGACTGTTTTACTGCATTAGCAGATAGCAACGAAGGACTGAGGATAGAAGCTGGAGTTACGTTGTTGGAGCATGTTTTTAGGAAGCAGGTACAATTTCAGGTAAGTAATCTGTGGGATTATGCGTATGGTGTGTATCTGTATGAGTTTCTTGTAGGTTAACTTTTAATTATTTATCTTATTAATACATGATCTGTACTAACCGAGGAAATACTGTTTTTTAGGACGAAGGCGTATGCCCTGAATTGCAGTATGCATTGAATCGACTGGTGCGGGGCGTTGCATCTTCTCGAATTACAGCAAGGAAGGGATTCTACACTGCTCTCGTTGGCCTGTTTTCGACCTTTTCCTTTTTAACAGTGGAAGACGTTTTGGCAGCAGCAAAAAAAGAACTTCATTCAGCTAACAGTTCTAAAAGTGTAAGTTCTTACTGTTGTTTTCCTGGAAAAGTAATGTAGGCGATATAAACAGATTCAATGGAGCGGGTCATTGAGAAGCTAGTAGTCACTCAGCTGTTATAGAACTTAAAAGGTTCATTACTGTG